ATAGGGACCCCTAAAGGGGATATAGGGACATAGGGACCCCTAAGGGGGATATGGGGACCCCAAGGGGAATATGGGGACATAAGGATCCCTAAAGGGGATATAGGGACATAGGGACCCCTAAAGGGGATATAGGAACCCCTAAGGGGGATATGGGGACCCTAAGGCGGGTATGCGAACATAAGGACCCCTAAGGGGGATATGGGGACATAAGGACCCCTAAGGGGGGTTATGGGAACATAGGGACCTCTAAGGGGGATATAGGAACATAAGGGACACTAAGGAGGATATGGGGACCCCAAGGGGGATATGGGGATATAGGGACCCCTAAGGGGGATATAGGGACATGGGGACCCCTAAGGGGGATATGGGGACATAAGGATCCCTAAAGGGGATATAGGGACGTAAGGACCCCTAAGGGGGGTATGGGGACATAGGGACCCCGAAGGGGGATATAGGGACATAAGGGACACTAAGGGGGATATGGGGACCCCAAGGGGGATATGGGGACCCCTAAGAATCCCTAAAGGGGATATAGGAACCCCTAAGGGGTTATAGGGACATAGGGACCCCTGAGTGGGGTATGGGGACGTAAGGATCCCTAAGGGAGTTATGGGGACCCCTAAGGGGGTATGGGGACATAAGGATCCCTAAGGGGGGTATGGGGACTCCTAAAGGGGATATGGGGACCCCTAAGGGGGATATAGGAACATGGGGACTCCTAAAGGGGATATAGGGACCCCTAAAGGGGTTATAGGGACATAGGGACCCCTAAAGGGGATATGGGGACCCCTAAGGGGGATATAGGAACATGGGGACTCCTAAAGGGGATATAGGGACCCTGAAAGGGGATATAGGGACATAGGGACCCCTAAGGGGGGTATGGGAATGTAAGGACCCCTAAGGGGGGTTATGGGACCCCTAAGGTGGATATGGGGACATAGGGACCCCTAAGGGGGGTATGGGGACATAAGGATCCCTAAAGGGGGTTATGGGACCCCTAAGGGGGATATGGGGACCCTAAGAGGGGTATGGGGACATAGGGACCCCTAAATGGAGTATAGGGAAGCCCATAGGACCACCCCACTCCCCTCCCAGCCCCATAACCCCCCCCATACACACTCATACCTGCCTCCTTCCTGCTGGCCCCCAGTCCTGGGGGGCAGAGCGGGGGGGTCCTCGGGGGTCCCGGTTTTGCCTTCGTGGTGTCGCTTAGCGGGGAGGGGGGGGCCGACCCCATATTCTACGGGTTGGCGAAGGGGGGACGGGGGAGGGGGGGCGAACGTCAGCGGGGGTCTGCAGCCCAACCTGGGTGGGACGGGGGGGGGGACGGGGGGGTCGTGAGGGGGGGTGCGGAAAACGTGACGTTTCGCCGGGATGGGTTTCGTGATTTGGGAATGCGGGGATCCGGGGGTCGGGGGAAAAGCTTTGCCAAGTCCTAATAGGATTCGCCGGCGATGGCCGGGGAGCAGAACCCCGATTTGGGTCAGGTCCGGTTCTGCCAAACGCCGGCAGTCGGCCACGGTGAGCAGGCGGTGCTGCTGGAAGGCGGCGCTGTACTGCTCCAGGTGTAGGGCCGCCAACCACGAGCTTATGGGAACGGGGTCTTCTATGGGGTCGTCCATGGGGGAAGGGTTCGGCTCAGAGCATCGGGGGCTGCGTGGGGAGAAAGCGGGGGTTGGGTGAGAGCTGCAGGATCGCGGAGCCTCAACCCCAACCCCAATCCCAAAACCAATCCCAACCCCAACCCCAACCCCAACCCCAACCCCAACCCCAATCCCAATCCCAACCCATGACCACTCATAGAACCATGGAACCAATAGGGTTGGAAAAGAGCTATAGGATCGCTGAGCCCAACCCTAATCCCAATCCCAATGATTCCCTACTTGGAGCACCGAAGAGTCAATAGGGTCGGAAGAGAAATATGGGATGGCCAACCCCAATCCCAATCCCAATCCCAACCCCAATCCCAACCCATGACTGCTCATGGGACCAGTAGGGTTGGAAGAGAACTACGGGATGGCCAACCCCAATCCCAATCCCAATCCCAATCCCAACCCATGACCACACACAGAACCATGGGATCATTGGGGTTGGAAGAGAGCTGTAGGATCGCTGACCCCAATCCCAACCCCAACCCCAATCCCAACCCCAATGATTCCCTACTTGGAGCACCGAAGAGTCAATAGGGTTGGAAGAGAACTATGGGATGGCCAACCCCAATCCCGATCCCAACCCCAACCCCAATCCATCCCCGTTCCCAGGATCACGGAGCCATTGGGGTTGCATCCAATATCCTAAAAGCACCAAATCCCCCAAAAGGCACCTTGTCCCCCAAAACACCCAGCATCCCCCAAAAGGACCCAAATATCCCCCCCTAAATCATCGCATCCCCCAAAAAGCACCAAACGCCCCCAAAAGATCCTAATTCCCCCTAAAGGGCTGAATATCCCAAAAAGGACCGAATATCCAAATCCCAAAAAGGACCGAATATCCAAATCCCAAAAAGGACCAGAATTTCCTGAATCCCAAAAAGGACCAGAATCTCCCAGAAAGGACCAAATCTCCCAAATCCCAAAAAGGACCGAATATCCCAAATCCCAAAAAGGACCAGAATGTCCCAAATCCCAACAAGGACCAAATCCCAAAAAGGAACAAATCTCCCAAATCCCAACAAGGACCAGAACATCCCAAATCCCAAAAAGGACCGAATCCCAAAAAGGACCAGAATCTCCCAAAAAGGACCAAATCTCCCAAATCCCAAAAAGGACCGAATATCCCAAATCCCAAAAGGGACTGAATCCCAAAAAGGACCGAATCTCCCGAATCCCAAAAAGCACCAGAACCCAAAAAGGACTGAATATCCCAAATCCCAAAAAGGATCGAATCCCAAAAAGGACCAAAGATCCCAAATCCCAAAAAGGACCGGATCCTAAAAAGGACCAAATATCCCAAATCCCAAAAAGGACCGAATCCCAAAATGACCGAATCTCCCAAATCCCAAAAAGGACCAAAGATCCCAAATCCCAAAAAGGACCGAATCCTAAAAAGGACCAAAGATCCCAAATCCCAAAAAGGACTGAATCTCTCAAATCCCAAAAAGGACCAGAATCCCAAAAAGGGCCAAATCTCCCAAATCCCAAAAAGGACCAGAATGTCCCAAATCCCAAAAAGGACCAAATATCCCAAATCCCAAAAAGGACCAAAGATCCCAAATCCCAAAAAGGACCGAATCCCAAAAAGGACCAAACCTCCCAAATCCCAAAAGGACCAAATCTCCCGAATCCCAAAAAGGACCAGAATCCCAAAAAGGACCGAATGTCCCAAATCCCAAAAAGGACCAGAATGTCCCAAATCCCAAAAGGACCAAATATCCCAAATCCCAAAAAGGATCGAATCCCAAAAAGGACCAAAGATCCCAAATCCCAAAAAGGACCGAATCCCAAAATGACCGAATCTCCCAAATCCCAAAAGGACCAAATATCCCAAATCCCAAAAAGGACCGAATCTCCCAAATCCCAAAAAGGACCGGAATATCCGGAATCCCAAAAAGGACCGAATCCCAAAAAGGACAGAATTTTCCAAATCCCAAAAAGGACCAGAATGTCCCAAATCCCAAAAGGACCAAATCTCCCAAATCCCAAAAGGACCAAATATTCCAAATCCCAACAAGGACCAAAGATCCCAAATCCCAAAAAGGACCGAATCCCAAAAAGGACCAAATATCCCGAATCCCAAAAAGGATCGAATCCCAAAAAGGACCGAATCTCCCAAATCCCAAAAAGGACCGGATCCCAAAAAGGACCGGACCCCAAGCAGCCCCCAGTCCCTTTAAAAGCACCACACGGGCCCCTAAAAAACCCCAAATCCTCTCAATCCGCCCCACATGAGAGCACAGTGGGGCACCGATGGGGACAGCGGGGGACAACAGGTGACAATGGGGACAATGGGGGACAAT